TATCTGTGCCAGCAACCCCTCTCAATCACGGTGTAATATAGGAGATTTACTGTCCCATAAACAACAAAAAAGGAAAAAAACAGAAAGTATGAAAAGAAAAAAACGCTGACATCATTAATTATCATCAACATTGTAGACTACATCATTATCATCATTTGTCATTATCATCATCGCCATCGCCATCCTCTTTTCATTATGAGTATGAAGCACAAAGTTAATAGATATCGTAAGGATGCATCAGTTATTGATGTGCGATATAGAAGCATGTATGTCACTGGATCATCTGGTGATAAATCTAAGGTCATATTTGTGACAAAGTTGAGTGGGGGCAAAGAAAGGGGGGATACAGAAAGAAAACTCTTTCAGGACCTATATGAGGCGTGGATTTTTATAAGAATGTTTGTTCAAGGACTGTAAAACACCCATAGCCTATACAGATTTTTTCAAGGACCCGAAAAATGCATGGATTAATTAAAGAATATTTTTAAGGATTCATATAGGCCTGGATCAATTAAAAAGGAGTCTATGTGAGGCGTGAATTTATTTAAAATCAATTAAAAAACATAAAACATATTTTTCACGGCCTATAAGAGCTCTGGATTAATTAAAAAATATTTTCACGGCCTATAAGAGGCTTAAGAGTCATGAATTAATTTAAAAATATGCTCCAAAGCCTATAAGAGGCGTGGATAATTTAGAAAATTTTTTCTGAGTCTATAGAGAATGAGTCGTGAATTAATAAAATGTGCCTAATTCTATTAGTGGTCTGGATTGAATAAAAATTATTGTTCACGGCCTATAAGAGACTTGGGTTAATTAGAAAAGATTGTTAGGGGTCTATAAGAGACGTGGATTAGTTCAAAAGATTTAATGAAATATTTTTTTTTTTCAAGAACTAAAATAAAACATTATTATTATTTGTCACTCCAAAAAACGTATACCCTTTTCAACGAAATATATATTTCAAATATTTTCTTTATCTCTTACATAAATTAACTAATATCACAAAATGTTCTCCCTAAATATTGTTTACCACGTTACAGCAGTAGCAGCAGCAGCAACATATCCAGTACATGGTCCAGTGACCAATTTAAAGTACTTGTGGTTATTTGCTGTAAATAAGTAATACACACATACATACATCCATACACATTTTATATATGAGTAGCTAAACTCCAAACTATTTCCAGAATACGTACTTCAAAAACTCTCAACAACCAACGAAGCCAACCGAAATAGCCAGAAGGGTTCTCCGAAAACCCCTAATACAAAACCCACAACAGCCAATAAGTAGTGAAATAGAAACCACCCCCTGCCCCTGCCCAATTGAAATACATATATTTTGAAGATTGGAATTAGGACCACAGAAAAGCCACCATCATCACAACACTAACGGACTCAGTGAACGTTGAATGGACCCACAAGTGGCACTTGTAGTTCCAAACTCAATGGAATGAGGGGCGATTGGGTCGTTGTTGTAGGGAAGTTGTGTGTGTATGGAGTTAAATAGAGGGTTAAGTTAGAGCTTATTATTAGATTTGCAATTGACATTGCGGAATTATTAATGTAAGTTGCGGGTAAAGGCGGTTATCAAATGAAAAAGAAATTTTAAATAAGTAGAAACGTCGTTAAGGTATCTTTTTGAAATAACCACGCCTCTTATAGGGCCTCAAAAAATGTTATTTTATTCATTTCCGTTAAAAAAATATTCTTTAATAAATTCACGCCTCAGTTGGCCCTTGAAAAATATTCATTAATAAATCCACGCCTCAGTTGGCCCTTGAAAAATATTCTTTAATAAATCCAAGTCTCTTATTGTTCCCCAAACAATTATATAATACATCCACGATTCATATAAGCTTCCAAAATATATTCTCCTTTTTTTAGGCCCTGAAAAATATTCGTCAATAAAATAAAGTCTTCACGTCTCATATAGAGCCTGAATAATATTCTTTAAAAAATCAACACCTTATATAGGGCCTGGAAATATTATTTAACAATTCCGCGCCTTTTATAGTCCCCTAAAAATATTCTTTAACAATTCCGCGCCTTTTATAGTCCCTCAAAACATATTTTTTAATAAAACCATGCCTTTTTTAGGACCTCAAAAAATATTTAATAAGACCATTCCTCTTTTAGGACCTCAAAAAATATTCTTTAATAAAACCATGCCTCTTTTAGGACCTCAAAAATATTCTTTAATGAATCCACGCCTCTTTTAGGCCCTTGAAAAATATTCTTTAATGAATCCACGCCTCAGTTGGCCCTTGAAAAATATTATTTAATAAATCCACGCCTCAGTTGGCCCTTGAAAAATATTATTTAATAAATCCACGCCTCAGTTGGCCCTTGAAAAATATTCTTTAATAAATCCACGCCTCAGTTGGCCCTTGAAAAATATTCTTTAATGAATCCAAGCTTCTTTTAGGACCTCAGAAATGTTTTTTAATGAATTCACGCCTCTTTTAGGACCTCAAAAATATTCGGTATTTTTACCCTAATTATGGGGATATATTTTTTTCTTGGGGGACGTACCCGGTTACCCGGTTATTTGACCCGGAAGTTCGGGTACGGGTACCCGGTTATATCCGGTTCTACGGATCCGGTTAATATAATATCATTTTAAAGGTTATAAAAATACCTTTCCATTGAGTGGTAATATGATGGGGTTATCTCAAACCATTTTGGAGATATAGTCAAAAAACTGGGTTTTGGTGCCCGATTTTTTTGAAAAACTCCCTAAAAGTCGAACTTGGGCCCATTATAGTACCTCTCTAACCCAAACTCAAATGATAGACCACAATATGCCCTTTCCAAAATGGTGCGATATGTGGCTGTATCTGTTGTGGATCAAAAGATATGGGCCTTAGAACCCTACAAAAACAAGAAAATTCTGTCGCGTAGCCGGTGTTGGTATCTGTCCATAGGAGAAAGTCTTAAATCCCCGGCCGAAGGCCGGCTACACAAAAAATATTCTATTTAGAAGGTTTTTCTGCCGCGTTAGCCGGTGTTGGCATCTGTCCATAGGTGAAAGTCTTAAATCCCCGGCCGAAGGCCGGTCACCCAAAAAAATATTCCATTTAACAAGAGATTCTGTCGCGTAGCCGGTGTTGGTATCTGTCCATAGGAGAAAGTCTTAAATCCCCGGCCGAAGGCCGGCTACACAAAAAATATTCTATTTAGAAGGATTTTCTGCCGCGTTAGCCGGTGTTGGCATCTGTCCATAGGTGAAAGTCTTAAATCCCCGGCCGAAGGCCGGTCACCCAAAAAATATTCCATTTAACAAGAGATTCTGTCGCGTAGCCGGTGTTGGTATCTGTCCATAGGAGAAAGTCTTAAATCCACGGCCGAAGGCCGGCTACACAAAAAATATTCTATTTAGAAGGATTTTCTGCCGCGTTAGCCGGTGTTGGCATCTGTCCATAGGTGAAAATCTTAAATCCCCGGCCGAAGGCCGGTCACCCAAAAAATATTCCATTTAACAAGAGATTCTGTCGCGTAGCCGGTGTTGGTATCTGTCCATAGGAGAAAGTCTTAAATCCCCGGCCGAAGGCCGGCTACACAAAAAATATTCTATTTAGAAGGATTTTCTGCCGCGTTAGCCGGTGTTGGCATCTGTCCATAGGTGAAAGTCTTAAATCCCCGGCCGAAGGCCGGTCACCCAAAAAATATTCCATTTAACAAGAGATTCTGTCGCGTAGCCGGTGTTGGCATCTGTCCATAGGAGAAAGTCATAAATCCCCGGCCGAAGGCCGTTCACCCAAAAAAAAAAAAATATTCTATTTAACAAGAGATTCTGTCGCGTAGCCGGTGTTGGCATCTGTCCATAGGAGAAAGTCTTAAATTTTCTGCCGAAGGCCGGCTACACAAAAAACATTATATTTAGAAGGAATTTCTTTCGCGTAGCCGGTGTTGGTATCTGTCCATAGGAGAAAGTCTTAAATCTCCGGCCGAAGGCCGGTCACCCAAAAAACACCATGCTATTTAAAAGGAGATTCTGTCATGTAGAAAGATTTTCCTTGTTTTTATAGGGTTCTAAGGCCCATATCTTTTGATTCACAACTGATACAGCTACATATCGCACCATTTTGGAAAGAGCAAATTGTGGTCTATCATTTGGGTCCTGTTTGGAGAGGGACTATAATGGACCCAAGTTCGACTTTTAGGGAGTTTTTCAAAAAAATCGGGGACCAAAACCCAGTTTTTTGGCTATATCCCCAAAGTGGTTTGAGATAACCCCATCATATTACCACTCAATGGAAAGGTATTTTTATAACCTTTAAAATGATACCCATATTATATTAACCGGATCCGTAGAACCGGATATAACCGGGTACCCGTACCCGAACTTCCGGGTCAAATAACCGGGTAACCGGGTACGTCCCCCAAGAAAAAAAGATATCCCAATAATTAGGGTAAAAATACCTACCTCTGGAAAAAATTTCAGAAAAATTTGATCGTTTTTACTAAACTAGAGTTGTTCCACATTCTTTAATAAATTCACGCCTTATATAGGCCATGAAAAAAATATTCCTTAATAAATCCATTAAAACTATTTTTTAATATATCCAGGCATTCAATAGTCCCCCAAAAATGTTTTCAATTATGCCTTAAACACACATTTTTAAAAAGTCACGCTTTTGGTCTCAATATTACTTCAAAAGTAGTTTTAAAAAATTCACTTACCTCGACCAAAATATTCCAATATTCTTTGAACATCCACGATTCTGAGTCTGACATTGTCCTAAAAAAGATTTAAAAAAAACATATTTTCCCGAACTGTTGAAATATTTCAAAAAAATACATACGCTTTCGGTCATAATGATACAGTTCCGTTAGTCCACTTTGCGGAATCCGAATATTTTTTCTTAGATTTTCACCTTTTTCTATACTTTGTTTTTTCTGAAACGGGGAAACACTTGAAATTTATAATTTGATCCAATATTGAAACCGATAAGAAATTTAAGACGCAAAATACAATTCCCGACGATTTTCACAGCATGGAAGTAACCCATGAAACTCGCTTGGCACCGCCCGGGCCAGTTTTGAGAAATGGATGTGGTGGTCTGAGTGCCGGCACCTCATCATCTCCTCCGGACACAAATATTCCCGGCTATCATTACCAACAACCGAACCCCAACAATGAAAATTCTATTTACAATGATGTGATGGCCATGTTCCATAAATGTTTCAGTTATCAGAAACTACCAAATTCAGCTTGGACCCTACCACCAGAATCTACTGCTGGTGGATTATTTTCCGAATATTATCAATTGGATAGCTTGCAACAGCTGAAAATCAAGCTAAACGATGTCAAGAGTAAACTCAATGACTATGTCATTGAGGAATGGTCACAGCATACCAGACGCAAGGATCCTGCTGGCGAGATACCATGGCGTTTGAAATCTGAGATGAAGGCGGAATTTGTAACCATTGCATGGTGTAAACTATTTGAGTGTTTAAATAGATTTCCCGAGTTGGTGAAAGGGCCACAGGTGAATTCATTGCATTTATGTGAGGCACCAGGAGCATTTATTGCGGCCCTTAATCATTATATCTATACCAGATTTAAGCCAGATGAGGTAAGTTGTAATGGGATTACACATGTAAAGAGGTAATCATTAATAATTTGTTTAAGTTTTCAAAAGGTGTTGTTTTTAAAACCAAATTTTTGAAGGGCCGTAAACCCAATTAGAGTGAATTTTTTGAAGGACCATTAGCGAGATAGGCGTGGATTTTTAAAAGCCATTTTTTGTAAGACCATTAGCCCCATTAAAAAAGTTTTTGTAGGACCATTAGCCCAATAGGCGTGGATTTTTAGAAAGGCCTTATGTTGGAAGACAATATTCCACTTTTGTATGAGATATTCTTGTCGTATATAGTCTTCTATAAGAATTATAAATTGTTATCCTCTTTTTAAATAACATTTTTTTAATATCTCCTTACAGGTTAAATGGCAGTGGCTGGCCACCACCTTAAATCCCTATTACGAAGGTAACCCCGTAAAGAAAATGATTATGGATGATCGTTTTATGTTGTACACGCTGGATAATTGGTTATTTCACAAGGATTTCACCGGCAACATTATTAGCAGTGAAAATGTCGAACATATGAAAGAGGAATGTAAAAAACGTCTGGGTGAAGTCCATTTGATAACAGCCGACGGATCAATAGATTGCATCGATGCCCCCGATTGTCAAGAGGAAAAAGTGGATCTCTTGCATTTTGCTGAAATTGTAACGGCATTAGAAATTCTAGCAAATGGAGGCTCCTTTGTGGTGAAAATGTTTACCCTCTTCGAATCGACTTCGCTGTGTAAATTATATTTATTGAATTGTGTCTTCCGAGAGGTGCATGTCTTTAAACC